AGACAAGAATCTTATGTACCACAGCAACCTTGGAGGGGTATCCAAGAGGGAGTACTCAATGGGACTGGCGGTTACAGACAGTTCAAGCATAAAAGATTGATAAAAAGATACTAGGATTAACAAGGGAGGGTGTCTCAGGTCACTTTTCCCAGAATAGCTGAAGAAAAGAGTAGGAGGTAAAGCGAGAGATGACAGGGTAAAAACTTACTGGGAAGTGAGGAAATGGAGACTGAAAGTGTTAAGTCTGGATGTGAGGGTAGCAGGAGAGGTTTTTTCCTTTCCACATTAAGCTAGAGAAGACATTTACCATGTTTATCAAAAAAAAAAAAAAAAAAAAAGGCACTAAATGCTGACGTAAGGATAAAGAAACAGGATGGGGGATGGGAGAGGAACGAGGGGGATCCAGCATGTAAGTAGAGTTTAGAAAGGCATAAGGTCACCTCTTCCTCAGAAACTAAGAGTGGGGTGTTACAAGAGCAGGTGAAAGTGTAAACACATTTAGAGACAAAAATTCTTTTAAAATTATAAAGTCAGTCTGATGAGCAGTAAATGGCATATGAGAAATGAAAAATCCATCTCTTATCACAGACTTAGCAGTACCTTACTTTGGCTTAGACAGGAAAACCTGCAAGTCAATTGCTTATTTAATCTAAAAAATCCATTTAGATTTTCTAAGTGTTAAAGCTGATCGATGCTACCTAACACAAAATTATAGGATTCTGTATTTTTTAAAAAGGGCATCACCTGTCAACCACTATCTGGAAATATCTTGGGTCCGTGTTTTGAACAGGTAAGAAATTATGCCTCCAGGTTTTCCTTTCTCCTGGTGAGTTCTACTAAAGTATGTTATGTGCTTATGATTTTTAAAATTATATGACAGAAATGTTTCATTTTAAAATCATAATTCCTGAGACACATTAATGGTGTTTAGCTTTAATCTTTTAAATCAATCTTTTGCTTTTGCTTCATAAATATCCTGAACCCAAGTCTTACCTTGGTCGCCTTCCCATTTCCCAGTATCACTCAACTCAGAATTTTTATTTATCTGAGATTCACATATTCCCTATTTTAACCAAATTGACTAGTTTTAATTGTTCCAGTAAATTTATGGTTTGGTTGGATGCCATGTTAGTGAAATGACATGTTTCTAGTTAGGAATATGCTCAACATTTATGGTTGACTCTAGTTATAAAATAAACTAGGTCTTTAGTAAGTTAGCTACTTAGCATCATGACAATCCTGTCACAATTAAGATTTTGCCCAAATTCTATCATCATTTTTCCACTGGGATTACTTTGCTTTCCAACTATTTGGATTACCATTATTAATCCTTGTCTTGAATGTATATGATTCTGATATAAACCCAATGTCACACTAACCAGAACTATAAAAATCATGAACATCTAATAATTAAAGCTATTTTCTTTATTTCAGAAAACAGTTGTATCAGTAGTACTCGGAGTGTTCAATAAATATTTACTGATTGCTTAATATGAGACAGACACTGTTCTACAAACTGTGTTCAACAAACAAATATTTCTGCCCTCAAGGAGCTTATAGTCCAGTGTAAGAAAACAAATAGTAAACAAATGAATGCTTAGATAAGTACTATGGAAAGATATAAAGGAGGGGGGGCATAGAGTGCTGATAACTATTGTGTCAAGGAAGGGTTTGACCAGGTAACAGTTGAGTGAGACTGAAGGATGAAAGAAGTGAGTTCTGTGTGTATCTGAGAGGAAACTATTCCAGGGAGAGAGGACACCAAGAACAAAGACTCTAAGGCAGGACTGTACTCAGTGCTTTTGAAGAGGAGCACTGAAGCCAGAGTACCTGGAGCTGAATGGCGAGCGGAAAATGGTAGTAGGTGAGGTAGGCGGGACTGCGAGCCTGCTAATCTCAAGGACTTTGGTCTTTAAGATGGGGAGGCACGAGATGGAAATAATCATTCTGGCTACTTAAGGGAGAACAGACCGTAGGGGCACAAGGATACAAAAAGGGGTTTTGGAGGGTATAGCTTCAATCCAGGCAAGAGGCGATGGTGGCCTCGAACAGGATGTTACTAGTAAAGGTCAAAAGAGGTGGTCAGCTTTGGATGTATTTGGAGGTAGGACCTACCAGGTTTGCTGATTTGGATATGAAAGATAAAAGAAAAAAAGAACCAAGGATGAGTCCATGGACCTGGACCCGAGCAACCAGAAGCATGGCATTGCCATTTACTGAGTTGGGGGGAGACTGAAAGAGAAGTTTGGGAGGGAAGATCAAGGACATGTTCAGTTGGAGCTTTAATGAGATTTCTAGGTAGAGATGTCAAGTAAGCAGCTTTATACACATGGGTAAACTCCAAATCTGGAGTTTAGGGGACACGTCTAAGCTAGGGGTAAAATTTCAGAGTTGACAGCATGGAGTTGGATGAAATCACAGTGAGGGAGGACACATAAGAAAGAGAAGGGGTCCAAGGAAATTTCTTCCCCTTAAGAACCTAAACTCATAAGCAATTTTAAAGGTATGGATTTAAATAGTCCAAAAAGTAATGAACCTCCCGTACCTTGAAAGTGCCCTCTGCCCAACTTAGCATGTTAAAGAAATCTTGTTTTACATGTAACCTAAGAAACTCCAGAAAGCCTCAGAAGAACCCCTTAGGGGTCACCTTGGCCATGGGCTTCAAAAATAATAAGGAATTTATTTTTCCAATGACATAGCCATTACAGGTTTTACCTTAAATTTGCTTAAAAGCAAATATCATTTCATTCATTTAACTACGAATACATTAATACATTACAAAAGAAATATAAAAAGGAGTATTTGAGAAACTGGAACTTTGCCCTCACGCTCTCTCCTCTCTCTTCTGTGGAAGCGTGGTGGGCCTCTAGAGCGAGAATTCCCATTATGCACAGCATCAGGCCACATATTTCAAAAGAAGAAACACTAAAGCCCTTTAAAATGTCTATTTTGGAATGTTCCTTTTCTGGCAGTTTCCAACTTTGTATTCTACATACCCAAAGTTTTTTGTTTTTGTTTTTAAATGGAAAAATTGATTTTATTTAATATTTAACATGTCACAGATTCATTATACACTTCTAATGGTCAAATAGTGGTCGAGCACAGGCTGAAATATGTACTAGTTTAAATAAACTATGTGCGGTGCACGTAGAATTCCACAGGACATCATAGCCTAAAGTTCAATGTGTGTGGATTTATCTACTCTTGAAGCAAAAGTCTTCTGGACTTTTTCCAGCTCTTCCCGAAGGTGGGAAATGAGTTCATCCCTCTCTTCCAATTCTCTGAAAAGCTCCAGAGCCAAGGTGGCCTGCCAAAGAAATCACCTACATATGGTTGGAGAAATAGGAAATGTTGCTTCTATGTAGGTAATATCAAAACGGTTGCAAACATTAAAAAGGATTTAAAGCTTGAACCATCACTTAACTCTTACAAGTTAACTTGAAAAAAACTCAAATGCATATGAGCCGCCTAACTGCTCATTCTGCATAGTGCCAATACCTGAATACTGACTTTGAACAAAACCATGGCTGTTTGGATTAGGGCCATTTGAGGGCCCTGCCTCATTTACCATGCTCTCTGCACAGCCGAAGTCAGATCCCTCAAATGCATCTGACTGCGAAACGAAAGCAGCAGTACTGGAACTGGCGCCTGCTGCCATGCTGGAAGAGGGCATCTGATGGAGCTGTCTCAAGTCTCTTGGGTCTAACATTGAGTTACAGGAGGGGCTTCCAATATTCATTCTCATAAGTCTCGAACCGTCAGTCTCCCTCATGCTGTCATTACTGGGCGTTATCATAGTCACAGGGCAATTCTGCAGCATGCTGGCATCAGAGATGCCATACAAGTCAGCTGGTGACATGGACGAAGCTTCCATTCTGCCTATGTCGTTAGTACTGTTATAAAGGCAAGCGTTAGAAGCATTCAATTCACTAACAGGCATTTCCAGGAATGACGGGATACCCTGTGAGTTAGAGGAAATTGTCCCTGTTGAAAAACTACTCAGTGGGTTGGTGCTGACTGAGCAGGAGGTCGGGTGGGCCACGGAGGACCAGCCTGAAGAAGGCGGAGGCGCCATCGGGGGCACGGCTGCAGCGTGATGCGGCACTGTGCTCGGGATGGGCACAGACGGCGGGTAGTAGGGCTCTGCTTGACTTGAAACTCCCGCAGTCCTGGGCATTTCTGTCAAAGCTGTACCATGAGAAAACAAGTTTGATTCTGTAGGGGGGAAATGAGCAAAATTATAAAAAGTGCTATTTCTACAAATCGTGCAATCACACTAATAAAGAAAATTTTCAAGGACACTGATGTAGCATTTCAAATTAAAAATTTAAACAGCACTAAAATTATTACATGAGCCCAAAACTGAATTCTGTGACACTTACTGTTTTACAAATACCTATAGATAATTTAGCTAAGTTATTTTGGCATAGGTAATCTCACTCCAGTCAAATGAAAACCTAGCTCCTGAGGCCCTATAAAGGTATTTTTGAAAAGTGAGAGATAAATATCAGAATTTCAGTTAATGGGACTCTAAATAGCCCCAAACCATTTCATATTCTCTACTTTTAAGAAAAAATGGAGCAATGGAGGACACATTCATTAGGGATGATTTGAAGTCCACATAACGTTCTAAAATGTGTTAAGATAAATTCCCAGTCAGAGAAAAATGAAGGCGTCTGTGTTTATTCACGTTATTATGTGACTGCTATACAAATAATCATGGAAAAAGCGCTGGCTTAAGAATGTACAGGGAAAAGTCTTCTAATTAACCCTGGTTGAAGGATCTAAACCAGAAGCTGGCAACTTCTTTTCTATACAGGGCCAGATAGTAAATACTTTAGGCTCTGCAGCCGCGGTTGGAACTGCTCGATTCCGCTGCTGTGCTGAAGAAAGCAGCCGTGGACAGTACGCAATCAGATGAGCATGGCTGCGCTCCAGCAAAATTCTATATAGACAGGCTACTGGCAGATCTAAACCGTTTCTTGCATGACGCACTGTGACTAGTAAAATTATCACCATATGAACGAAAGGTAATTTCTCAAACAATAACTCCCCCAAAACCAGTTTCCAATAGGACGTTTGGAAGCCAAGATCAATTCACTCAGTATTCAAAGCATGAAAATATCTTTGTAGGAGTAGAAAATATTAAAGAAGCAGTTTTATTCCTAAGAATGGAATTCCAATATATTGTGCAAAGCAGTGGTCTTTCTGATCACAAGGGATATTCTACAGGGAATAAAATACCTTTTTTAATGAATCGTCCTTCTCCAGTTGATCCTAGAGGACCAGGTCTAGGTCTTTCAGGAAAATTAACTGCTGTGATAAAGTTTCTCCATTATTAAATGTAATTTGAAAAATAACATTATCCGTTAAAAATGCGCAAAACTGAATAAGCAAAACCCCCACAAAACCTATTTAAATATGAATCAATCCAAAATATTCTTACCACAGTCCTGCCACAGTTTCTGGAAAAGCAGAGTTGTTTTTTGTTTCTTTGCTTTATTGCCATAAGTATCTGGTTAGAAAGAAACCAGGAAAGCATGTGAATGAATCATCATGCTTCTTCTAACACATAGTGTTTCATGCCTATTTAGAAAATGCTTTCAATAAACGTACAGAACATGGATTTATTAAGCGTTGTGGAGTGTGCCCTAAGCCATGGTAAAGGGTATTTTTCTCTTAGTGAGAAACAGTGGGATAGTCGTCTTGTTTTCTTCTAACACTTGTATGTCAACAATGTCAACTAATACAATAGGGGCAGAAAAGGGCCAGAATGGAGACGACTCTGACGGGCAAGTTTGCTATCTATAAAAAGGACACAAGAAGGATCAAAACCCCCCTCAACTATAAAACAAATTTGGATAAACAGTTTAGATACCCTGAATTATTCCAGATTCCTCTCCTAAGAAAGAGATACAAAGAGCACACAGATCAATCAGCTGAAAAAAATCAACTGACAACGATCAGGAAAAGAAATGTAATTTACGAAAAAACACACAACTGTGTTTCAAGGACTCTTACAAAAATGTTATTAGCAGGACTAATTTTAGGAGATGTTTAAAACATTGCTGCCAAGAAGTCGCACCTTTTTCATCTGGCAGGTATCTAAAATCCATAGATTCACTAACTTCCTGGTCAGAAGGTCTCCGCAGGTGCATTTTTACTGTCACCGGTTCCGTGATAGCTTTGCAATACGGCGGAGTCTTGAAGACAATGGCCACTTGACGGTGTACATCAGCTTGTGAAAAGATGCCTTTTGCTTCCCAATCATTCAACACAAACCGAACTTCTATGTCATCTAGTGAATATGAAAGCAAAGGACCATCAATGGGAAAACAAAGTAAACCGTATCTATTAATTTAAAATATATTCTGAATTCCATGAAATAGATGAAAAACAAATAAATACCTTTCTGAACTTTGTCACAGAGTAGAAAGATTTCATCTCCTCCTCTGACACTTCCACAGTTCTTGTTTACACGACAAATCCTTAATTCTGCAGTATTAGGGGCACCTACATAGGAAGAATTTTTTAAAGGAGTTGTACCTTAATAATATATTTTATTCCTTTTTGATGGAGAGAATTTTAGGAAAACAATTTATAGGATAGATAAAAAAGTTTAATGTATAAGTAAATTAAGAACACTAAATACATTAATCATCCATGTCTGTCCCTTTCCTTTTCAACTGTATTGTCTAACCTGGTTTAGAGTGACTTCATTTCTAGGCAATGACATGTTCTCTAATTAAACCTTCCTGCTTGTAAATTGATTCTTCCCATCCATTCTACACACTGTCACCAAATTAATCCTTTTAAATCATAACCACAACCCTAGGGCATTGCAATTTTCATGCTTCCTAGTACCGGGCAATATTCCAATAACTCTCCCTGGCATTCAAAGCTCTCCATAAGGATACTCTGACCTACCTTTATAGCCCTATGTCCCACTATCCTTCTACATGCAAAACAGGTATAGTCATAAACCACTGGTGATCATTTATAAGAGTACAACACACACCCAAACACACACACACACACACACAATATGGGGGTAACTTCATAATCTTTTAAAACTATATACACAGTGGTACCTCGGTTTTTGAATGTAATCCATTCTGAAAAACCGTTCGAGTTCTGAAATGTTTGAAAACCGAGGGATCCACAGCCGACAGCTAGGCCTCAGGATCTTGCCCTCAGCGGAAGCCGTGTGGCGTGTTTGACTTCCAAGGTGTGTTAGAAAACCGAAGCATTTACTACCGGGTTTACAGCGCTCGTAAACTAAAATGGTTGTCAACGGAGACGTTCAAAAACCGAGGCACCACTGTATCTGTATCCTTTGATCTAGCATTTGCCAACATTCTACTTCTGCAAACTCATGATAAAGACCTACCTGTACAAGATATGCACATGCAGGATACTGATTGCAGTACAAAGTGTGAGAGCAAAAATTAAAAACTGAGAAGGAAACAAACCAAATGTCTTGTAATAAGGCAATGATTTACTAAAATTACGATATAGCCATATAAGGCAATATGCAGCTACTGAAAAGAATAAGGTGCCTGAAAGGGAAAGAGATTCAAGATACATTGCAAAGAGAGGGGGAAAAATTAAACAATGATCAGTGAGGATTTCTTTAAAAAGTTGCCAAAAATATATTGTGTGAATGATGATGATGATGTATTTGTACATATATGAAGAAAAAATGGTCCTAAGGACAGTGATTATCTTTGGAGAATGAAATTAGAGATTTACTATAGGCAAATAACTTGTTATTTACTTCAGGAATGTCGAAATTTTTCCTGTAATAAACAAACTTTTTCTAATTACCAAAATACTTAAAAAACAATTAAACTATAAAAAAATAAGCTAGGGCTACAAACACAAGAATATGAAGTACTTACGGTTGTCATAAATTGGGTTAGAGACAACAGGAGGTAGAGTAGTCGTCAAATTACCATGGTCATCATAGAGGAAAACTTGAAAACATAATCTCACCACATTGAGGTCGCAATCTTCAGTATCAAGGAGCTGTGCTTCAGGGACTAAATGGGAGAATTTTTTTTTTTAAAAGAATGTAGAATATTCACACAGAACTAAAATCCTGCTCGATTCTCCTCCCTGCCCAATATATCCAGTAAACTTAAGTAGCATCCAAATCTGCACTAAATAAAATAGAATGGTACACAATCTCAAGAATGCCTTTTACCATAGTACATCATGTAGTCACTATCTAACAGTATTCATGAGGTATGACCATGTCAGGAAGTAACTATCCCAGTCGCCTGGAATTTAGATCAGAATCCCAAACTGACATTAATATTAAATTTTTACAAAGATGGTTGCAGGTTATATACAACAGAGAATAGGCATGCATTCATTAATTCAACAAGCATATATTTAATCCAGTCATTGTGTTAAGAACTCTGTAAATTATCTCCTATACCTGTACAAGAATGACTATCATCCTCATTTACAGATGAGGATTTGATTTTAAAGAAATGAAATTACTTGTCCCAAGTTTCACAGCTAAGAAGTACCAGAATTCATACTCAGGCAACTGAATCCAGAGCCTAGGTTTTTAAAAACTGAACTCTATTAGACAATTTTACATATGTTTTGTATTAAGTGACCAAAGGATTATGTACTAAAATTTAGATCAATATTTTAGGATATTAGATAAGGTAGCTTAGTTTGCATAAGAAATTTGATGTGCAAATTTGGTTTGTCTCTTAAAAAAGGCAAACAAACCCTATAGCAGGAAAATTTTATAGTTCTAAAAACATATAAAACCCATTCTTTGTGAAAAAATATAATGTTTGTTAAGTTGATATTGGAAAAGAAATCCAGTTCCAAAGGAAAATATTTACTGCCTTTTCAAAGAATATAAACTGTAGCAATCAATTATAAGTCATATTTTTAAAAAGCATGAAATATACATATTAAATTTTATAAAAATGTTTATTTTTAAAAAGGTATTAAAATTTGAAACACTAAATTTGAAAACAGTTAAAATCCAAATTCTTTAGTCTTACAAATAATAATAAAAACTATTTTGACTTTTTATTTAAACTACAGTCATAGTCTCAGTAGCTATCACAAAATTTAAAATTATCTCATGATCACCATTCTTAAGCTAAGCATTTGAAGGAGCCTATTAGAACATATTTGTACAACTAAAAGGTCAAAAAGTGATGCATGATATGAATACCTGTATCACAGCAGCAAATTCTACTGGCACAATTACATAGGCAATGAGAGGTCTACCCCTTCAAAATCAAAGTTTATAGCCTTATCAATTTAGAATTCAAGACATTAATGTTTTGCAATTCCAAAGATGAATAATCAATACACAAAAAATAAATTATTTGCTAATTGCACCTGACAAGTTTAAAAATAAGCCTATGTGAGTGATGTAAGCAAACTGTGACAGCCATACACATACAAAAGAACAGATTATGGATATAGACCCCAACACAAATGTATCTCATCAACATTCTGTGCAAAAGGAACCAGATATAGTCATGCTTCCATTATATGAAATTCTAGAAAACATTAATTGATGGTGACAAAAAGCAAATTAATCGTTGACTGGGGCCAGAGGAGGGAGAGAGACATGACGGGAAGGAGACCAAGGAAATTCTGGAGTGGTGGTGGTAGTGGAAATGTTCCTTATCTTGACTGTGGTGGTGTTCCATGGAAGTGTATATTTGGGTAGATCTAAGTGTATATAAATTTGACCTAAATAAAAGTTTAATTAAAATCTCTTAAAATAGCACATAAAAAAAAAAAAAAAATGAACTGGTTAATAAACCAAAGCTTAAAAACATTTAGGCACATAATTATTTCATCAAAGAGAAAAAATTCTACCTGGTTCTCCAAAAGTCAATTTTTGTGGGATTTTACTTAGAATTTTCTCAATATGGTGCTCGCTTCGGCAGCACATATACAAATTTTCTCAATATATGGGAATACAGTTAGCACTGCATCAGAATTACCTTCATCTCTTCACAACATGGTTAAAAATCACTGACCAGCAGGAATTATGGCTGATCCCTGTTTTTACCCAATGCAGGATTCAGTTTAAAGATAAAAACTCAGCACAAAGCTTCCTCTTTTCTACACAGCCTACCCTCATCCTTCGAAATGGAAGGAATATATCTTCCTTCTCTAAGTCAGTGCAGCACTTGACCTATATACCTGTCCTACACACAGTGTGTGTGTGTGTGTGTGTGCGTGTATCTTGCATGATTATCCTCCATCAAGGTCTCTTCTACTCAAGTAGGCTAAGTTCCATGAAGGCAGAATGGGTGTCTGGTGCATCTTTGCATCTTCACTAAACATGGAACACAGTGGCTTACATATAATAAATACTAAACATTTTCTTAGTGAGTAACTGAAAAATTAAGGAAAGGCCTGTTAACCAAACATTTAGACATTTTCATAAGTTGCTGAAAAAAACTATAAAGTAAAAATCAACAAAGGAGGTTCTACTTTTGGTAAAGGCAGGTGACATATGTAATTGGGACCAACTCTACCGTGAGAACTAAAAAAGGTGGACAAACTATGAAACAAAAATCCTCTAAAGGCATCAAAGAACTGATAAGATCATGAAGAACCATGGGGCTAAGATATAGAAGAAAGGAACTGTAAGAAAAACACTCCTGTTTCTCTCTACTCACCAACACTTCTGATGTCTATGTGTTTTTTCACACATACCAATTCTCCAACTCTTAGGATATCAAACTGGTGGGGTGTCCTACAATTTAACTCAATTTTGACACTAACCACCTGGGGCTGGACAGATCCCACAAGCAAGAGTTCAATTCCACAAGTCTGCTCCTCCCCACACACTTAAGACACTAATCACAAGTCCAGGGTGTCATCTGTACTTCTGACTGACTGGCTACAAACTGGGAGTTCCATGACCCACTCCTTGGGTTTGATAATTTGCTAGAATGGCTCACAGAACTCAGGAAAACAAATTACATACTAGATTATCAGTTTATTATAAAAGGAAACAACTCAGGAACAGCCAGACAGAAAAGATGCCTAAGGAAAGGTATATAGAAGTGATACTGAGCTTCCACGCTTCTGGGAATGCCTCCCTCCCAGCGCCTCCCCATATTCACTAATGCAGAAGTTATCCGAGCCCCTTCAGTTAGGATTTTTATGGAGGCTTCATTTTGAACAAATGACTGATTAAATCATTGGACACTGGTGATTAACTCAACCTCCTGCCTCTCCCCTTTCCAGAGTTTACATAAAGGGATGAGGTTGAATGGTCCAACTCTAAGAACATGATTGATTGGTTCCTCTGGCAACCAGAGTCCCCCACCCTTAGGGGTTTTCCTAGCCACCTCATTAACATAAACTCGGATGTGTTTGAAAGGGGTTTGTTATGGAAACAAGGCACTCTTTTTACCTTTTTAGTCTAATCATTTAAGCAAATTCCAGGGATTTTTAGGAGCTCAGTGCCAGGAATGGGGATAAATATCATAAAATCACAATATTACAGAAACCCAGAGAGGTAAGTTCAGAAGACGGTTTTTTTTTTCATATATAGCCTACCAATTTTGTAACAGGAGCTAAGAGGATGATAAGAAGTTGAGATAAACTCTCAATAAACTATAAGGGAAAAATAAAGGAGTTCAGGGTCTGTCCAGGATGGAGAATTTGATAAACATCTAATGCTTTGATTGGGGGACCTGGAGGAGCTATAACCCAAGAAGTAAGGGTGAACTGGAATGACACCAGAAACTCACAGGATGAAAGCCTAGCTTCAAATATCCTAAATCATTTGCTGATTGTAGGTGATCTGGAATTGCTGGTGTGACCACCACCTACCACAAGAAAATCTTCTGAAAGGAGATAACAATGTCCCAGGAATAAAATCTCTACAACTTTTCATTTACAATGACTGATACTCTATTTTAAATAACCAGGCATATGAGGAGACAAAATAAGGTGATTTTTTTAAAGTATTCTGATCAAGATGGCAGTGTAGGTAAACACAGTACTCTCATCCTCCCATAACCACATCAAAACGACAACTAAACTACAGAACAATCATTCAGAACTGCCTGAAATTTAGCCAAACAGAAGTCCTACAACTAAGGATATAAAGAAGCCACATTGAGATTGTAGGGGAAAAGACAAGGAGCAGGCTGGTCCCACACCTAGGTGTACTGAATAAAAATTGGGAGGGATATCTTCGCTGTGGAGGTCCCCACTGAGGAACGAGGGGTCCCAGCCCCACACCAGGGTTCCAGTGCCAGGAAGAGAAGTCCCCATAACTTCTGGCTGTAAAAACCAGTGAAGATTGAGGCTGAGTGAGACGAACGTCTGCTGGAGTCCCAGATATTCCTCTTAAAGGGCCTGCACATGGACTTATTCAGACTCACTTGCTCTAAGCTCCAGTGCTGGGGCAGCAGCTCAAAAGGCACCAGGGACATATGCGGAGGAACTGAATTGTCAGCATTAGGGTGAGA